TGGGGGGCACGGGGGGGCAGGGGGTCAGTGGGGGGGGGTCAGGGACATATGGGGGGATGGGTGGGACCAGAGGGGTCAGGGAGACGAGGGGGAACGCCCAGCCTGGGGGGCAGGGGGGGATCAGAGGGGTACGAGGGGGGAGCCCCCACCTGGGGGGCATCAGGGACAGGGGGTGCACAGGGGGTCTCTCTTACCCTCCTGCAGAGCGGGCAGCTCCTCGCAGACCTTGGCCGTTCCGAGGAACCGTCGGCGCTGGGCGGGGGTCCCGCTGCAGAGGCCGTGGGCGGTGTCGGGGGGCACCCCCTGCGCCCCCAGCATGGCCTCGAAGATGCTCCGGGCTGAGCCATCGTCCAGCGCCCGGCCCAGGAGCTCCCGGCCCTGCGCGGCCCCCGCCGCCTTCCCGCACTGCCACAGCAGCACCCCGCCTGCACCCCAAAACCGGCACGGGCTGGGACCTCCTCACACCAGGGGAACAGCCCAGGGACCCCCCACTGCCCTCTGCTCCCCTCCAACCCCCCCCGGGACAGGGAGACAGGCAGGGGGAAGGGGAGGTGGGTCAGGACCCCAAGAAGGGCTTAGGGTGGGGGAAGACAGAGAGGGGGAGACCCTGAGGCTGGGGGGGTTCAGGGCTGGGGGTGAGTGGGAACGTGGGGAGGGGGCGTCCAGGGGGACCCTGGGGCTGGGGAGGTGCAGTGGGACCCCAAATCTGGGGGGGTGCAGGGTTGGAGATGAGGGGGACCCCGAGGATAGGGGAGTTAGGGACAGTGGGACCCTGGGGATGGGGGGGCGTTCAGGGGGACCCCAGGGATGGGCGGGTAAAAGTCGGGGGTGAGGGGACATCCCGGGGAATGGGAAGAGGTCAGGACTGGAACGGGACTCGCGTGTGCCGGCCCTGGGCCTCGTCCCTCCGTGTCCCTCCGTCCCCACCCGGGTCCACCCCCCCCCGTCCCGGTGTCCCCACGCTGACCGAGGGTCGTGACCAGCTGCCGCAGGTCGGGGGGTCCGCCCCCGTCCAGACATTCCAGCGCCTCCAGCACCTCCAGCGAGTTCCCCACGGCCCGGCCCAGGGGCTGATCCATGCGGGACAGCACGGCCACCGTACGGATGCCCAGCTGTGTGCCCACCTCCACCTGGGCACGGACAGCGACAGCGACACGGGCAGGGACAGCCAGCAGGGACGGGGACAGGGGAAGGGACAGGGAGAACAAACAGGGACAGGCAGGAGAGCAAGCAGGGACAGGGACGGTGAGAAGGGACAGGGATGGCGGGAAGGGACAGCGACGGGCGGGGACAGGGATGGCAGGGCCAGAGATAGAGGGCAGTGACAAGGGACAGGGATAGGGACAGTGAGAAAGCGGAGGGACAGGGAGAGCAGGCAGGGGCAGCAGGCAGGGATAAGGACGGACAGGGAGAGCAGGGAGGGTGGGTAGGACAGCGGGAGGGCACAGCGGGTAAGGAGGGCGGGCAGGGACAGTGGGTAGAGGTGCCCCAGCCCAGCGCCCCTAGCCCCGGGGCAGGGGTCTGGGGGGCTTTCCGGCGGGCGCGGGGTCTCACCAGGCTCTGCGCCAGCTCCCGCGCGCTGTCCTGCGTGGGGTACAGAGCGGCGCTCCCGAACTTCACATCGAGCACCAGCGCCGAGAGCTGCTCCGCCGCCTTCTTGCTGAGGATGGAGGCTGTGCCGGGGGTTGGGGGTCATTGCCTGAGCCCCCTCCCTGGCCGTGCCCGGCCGGAGTGCCCGTCCCCTTGCCCCCCGTGCCCCGTACCGGTGATGAGGGGCACGCTGTCCACGGTGGCCGTGACGTCCCGCAGCCCGTACAGCACCCGATCAGCGGGTACCAGCTCCTCGCTCTGCCCCACGATGCAGCAACCCACCCGCTCCAGGGCGCTGCGCATCTGCGGGGCAGCCGTGCCGGGTTGGCACCCCATTAGCACCCCCTTGGCACCCACACCCCATCAACACCCCGCTGGAGTCCCACTGGGATTCCACTGGCATCCAATCAACATCCTGTTTGCACCGATACCCCATGGGCACCCACAACCCACAGGCATCTCATCAGCACCCACCTCTGCCCTTTGGATCCCTTCAGCACCCCATGGGCACCCCACACCCCTTTTCCACCCCACCGGCACCCCGTAAGTACCCCATAGGTTCCCACACAACCCATGGGCACCCCACTGGCACCCACAACCCATTGGTACTCTATCAGCACCCCACCGGGACCCCTTAGGCTCCCACAACCCACCAGCACCCCGTAGGTACCCAAAACTCATTGACACCTGCACTCCATCAACACTCCAGTGGCACCACCTCCCCTGCCCCGTGGGTACCCTACTGGCATCCCACCCCACTGGAGCCCCCCAGTGCTCCCAAGGCCGGAGCCTGCAGGAGTCGGGGTGCCCGTGTGCCCCCGTGCCCGTGTCCCCCTGGCTGGTCCCTCCCCGCTCACCTCCTCAGGGCTCAGGGAGACGCGGAAGCCGGGAATGGCCTCCAGCTTGTCCAGGGTGCCCCCGGTGTGGCCCAGCCCTCGCCCGCTGATCATGGGCACCTGTGGGTGGGCACAGGTGGGTGCGGGAATTCGGGGACCCCCGGCCCGCCCCCCGGGGTGCCCCTCACCTTGCAGCCGCAGGCAGCCAGCGCGGGGGCCAGAGCCAGGCTGACCTTGTCCCCCACGCCCCCCGTCGAGTGCTTGTCCACCACCAGCCCGTGCCAGGCGGGCGGCCAGGCCAGCGCCCGGCCTGAGGCGGCCATGGCCCGGGTCAGGGCCAGCGTCTCCCCCGCGTCCATGCCCCGCAGCCGGATGGCCATCAGCATGGCACCTGGGGGGCACGGCCGAGGGTCACCCCCACTGCCCTCCCCGGGCCCCCCCACCCTGCCCGGGCCCCCCATCCTGCCCCATGCCCTGCAGCCAGAAGCCATCAGCACCTGAGGGGCACGGCAAGGGGTGGGCGCCGCCCCCTACTCCCTTCCTTGGGACCCTCCAGCTCTGATAGCCCAACTCGGGGTCCCCTTCTTGTCGCCCCCCACCCTATTGT